AATGTTCTATACCGTATCATAAAATGTAATTGCAAACCATTACTAAACAAATTTTATTAGAGAAACAAGCAACATTAAAGATACTTCAATATTAGGAAAACGTTGTGACTGAGGCCATACATATAAATATAAAAATAAGATGATGTGGTATGATTGCCAATGAGACAACTCTCCACAAGAGACCAAATGACACAGAAAAAAAAAAAGACGGCAACCACTGAATTACAGGCTCCTGACTTGGGACAGGCACATGTAGAATGTGGCAAGGTTAAACTAGTTTGAAGTCGCGCCAACCCTCCCCTTAACCTGGGACAGAGGTGTAACAGTACAACATAAGAACAAACTATAAAATTCAGTTGAAATGGGCTTAACTCATCAGATCGATACAAAGCAGAAATACATCTTACAAAAACACAGAGTGGACGTGGCAGGGCACTTATACATCCCCACAACAGAAAGACACTAAGTACAGATGTGAGAGTAATCTCAGCTACTGACAGTTAGTTTGAAGCCAATAACAACTAATAAAAAGATCATGCATCTAAGACTAAAAATCATGCATTAAAGACTAAAATGCCTGGATATGCATAACACGTTAGTGTTAATAATTTTAACTTTTTATTAGCAGGGAATTCTTTTATTAAGATTACAAATTTTTGAATATATAGTTCAGCTCAAGTTGTATCATGACCGAATTGAAAAACTTGATAAGGATATATAATACTTAGGCCTTTGACATACAAAATGAAAGGTTTTAAATCCAACATTTTCTACATAAGAAAATGCCTGTACCAAGTCAGGAATATGACAGTTGTTATCCATTCGTTTGATGTGTTTGAGCTTTTGATTTCGCCATTTGATTAGGGACTTTCCTTTTTGAATTTTCAGTATTTTTGTGATTTTATTTTTTAGTACTTCAGAATAGACTCAATTCCATAATCTTAACAGTTTGATCTACAGTTAACCTCATATCAAAGCTTTTTGAGAAGATAGAAATCTTACGGTTTGATAAACCGTTAACCTCGTTTTAAAACTCACGGAAAAGACACAAATCTACCTGTTTAATTTACAGATAACCTCGTATAAAAACTTACTGAGAAGTCATAAATCTAACAGTTCGATTTACAGTTAACTTCATATCAAATGTCTTGGAGAAGACTGAATATAGCGGTTCGATTTACAGATAACCTCGTGTCAAAACTCATGAAGACGACAGAAATCTAACGGTTCCATTTAGAGTTAACTTTGTATCAAAACATTTGGAGAAGACAGAAATCTAACAATTCGATAAATATTTAACCTCGTGTCAAAACTCATGGAGAAGACTGAATAGAACGGTTCAATCAACAGTTGATATCGCATAAAAACTTATGGAGAATAAAATTGCGAATGGAAATGGGGAATATGTCAAAGAGACAACAACCCGACCAAAGAGCAGACAACAGCCGGTGGTCCTCAGTTGGCCCCTAAATAAAAATGTGTGCTAGTTCAGTGAAAATGGACGTCACACTAAACTCCAAAACATATAAATGAACTAAAATTAAAAAACATACTAGACTAACAAAGGCCAGAGTCTCCTGACTTGGGACAGGCGCAAAAATGCGGCGGGGTTAAACATGTTTTGTGAGATGTCAACCCTCACCCTATACCTCTAGCCAATGTAGAATAAAGAAACACATAGCAATACGGACAGTAAAACTCAGTTTAAAAGAAGGGCTGAATATAACTGTTGGATAAACAGTTCACCTCGTATAAAAAATCATGGAAAAAAAACTGAATATAAAGATTTAATTTACAGATAACCTCGTATGTACAGTAGTTGTCGTCTGTTTATGTAGTTCATACGTGTTTCTCGTTTCTCGTTTTATATAGATTAGACCGTTGGTTTTCCCGTTCGAATGGTTTTAAACTAGTCATTTTTGGGGCCCTTTATAGCTTGTTGTTCGGTGTGAGCCAATGCTCCGTGTTGAAGGCCGTACCTTGACCTATAATGGTTTACCTTTATAAATTGTTATTTGGATGGAGAGTTGTCTCATTGGCACTCATACCACATCTTCCTATAGCTATCACGAAAGAGACGGAAATCTAATGGTTCTATAAACAGGTATCCTCGTATTAAAACTTAAGAAGAAGACTGAATAGAACTGTTCGATTTACACATAACTACGTATTAAAACTAATGGAGAAGACAGATAACTTACTGTTCGATAATAAGTTAACATCGTATCATAACTCATGGGGAAAAGTGAAAAAACAGTACTAAAAACATATTGTGATGACTTAATATAACGGTTCGATAAACATTTAACCTCGTATCAAAAATCATGTAGAAGACAGAAAACTTACGGTTCGATTAACAGATAACCTCGTATCAAAACTCATGAATATGACTTAGTATAAAAGTTCGATAAACAGTTAACCTCGTATCAAAACTTATGGAGAAGACAGAAATATAACGGTTTGATAAACAGTTAACCTCGTATTAAAACTCACGGAGAAGACAGACATCTAACGGTTTGATAATCAGTTAACCACGTATCAAAACAGATAGAGTAGACTGAATCTAACAGTTCAATGAGAAGACAGAAATCTATCGGTTTTATTTACAGATAATATTGTATCAAAACTCATTGAGAAGATAACGTTGATTCAAAACTCATGAAGAAAATAAAATCGAATTAAAACTCATGGCGAAGACGAAAATCTAACAGGGTGATTTACAGTTAATTTCGTATCGAATCTTACAGAGAAAAAAGAAATCTGATTATTCAATTTACAGTTAAGTCTGTATCAAAACTCATTAAGACGACTGAATTCTAACAGTTGGAAATACAGTAAACTCTGAACCTCAAAATTCACTGAAAACTTGACTTAATAATGTATCAAAACTCATAATGAAGACTAAAATCGGAAAGGTTTGATTTACAGCTAGTTTATCTATTTATCAAAACTCTTGCGAAACTGAAATCTAACCCTTTGATTTATTGTTTACCTCGTATCAAAACTAGAGAAGAAGATTGAAATCTAGCGCTTTGAGTAATTGTTTACTTCGTATCAAAACTCACGGAAAAGATTTAAATCTAATGCTTTGATTTATTGTTTACTTCGGATCAAAACTCGTGGAGAAAAATTGAAATCTAACGGTTTGATAGTTCGTATCAAAACTCATGGAGGATATTGAAATTTAACGGTTTGATTTATTGTTTACTTTGCATCAAAACTCGTAGAGAAGATTAAAATCTAACGCTTTTATTTATTGTTTACTTCGTATCAAAAATCGTTGGAAAGATTAAAATCTAACGGTTTGATTTATTGTTTACTTCGTGTGAAAACTCGTTGAAAAGATTGAAATCTAACGATTTAATTCATTGTGTACTTCGGATCAAATAAAGGCAACAGTAGTTTACCGTTGTTTAATAGTCATAAATCGATTAAGCGAAAACAAATCCGGGTCACAACCAAAACCGAGAGAAACACATCAACTACAAGAGGGGAACAACAGAAACACTGAACTTCAACAAAAACAAACGACAACATACATAGACTATCTGATAACAACTGCCATATTCCTGACTTGGTACAGGACATTTTTAGAAAAAATGGTGGGTTTAACCTGATTTTATGGCTAGTCAAACCTCCCGCTTATATGGCAATGTTCAAAATTTCGGAGAAGATTGAAATCTATCCGTTTGATTTCTTGTTATTTTCGTATCAAAACTCGTGGAGAAGATTGCAATCTAATGGTTTGAGTAACAGTCAATGGTTGTTATCAAAATATTTTAGAGGCATATCTTTTAAATAAGTCTTTTTGTTTCTTATAATTGGCGGTTGGTTAAGAAATGAAAAAAAAACAACCTTAATTTGATCCCAACAAGTATCTATATGCCTGTCTCAAAACATGATTCGTGTCTATGGTTGTCTTAAGTTACATTTTTTACAAATATGTCTTACGTCATTTAGGTAGTTTTTTTTTTGCTGACCGCAAAACTATGATAATGTACTCTTTTTATTTATATCTTTACTAGACTCGAGGCCGGACTTTTGTTTCTGTTTAATGAAAATTGGTTCACCTCAAGGTGTCGTTCGTTTTTTTGTATCACTTGCTTTTTTTCATTTCCGTCACAAAACCCATAGCGTTAACCTCATGTAGAAGGGGTCATTTTTATTCATTGAAGGAAAACCCAGAACAACAATGCAGATATTTTGTGCCCTTTAACTGCATGTAATAAACACCTTCATTAAAATCTGATTGAAAATAGTATTTTACTGCAGAACTATAATTGTTTACATTTGCATATAAACAAATTAACCACATGGTAGCCAAAGACACTTTTTAAAGTAAGTAATAATATGTAGGGAAATAACATTACTAGTATATAACAAATACCCACACTGCATTATATGATACGAAAATATATTCATTAACATTATGGATATAAAGCTTATATGAGAGAAGCTAAATATCATGAATCTACATGAGAAAATTACTGCACCAGAAAAATGCAAGTAAAACTAATCTAAATCATATAATAAAACAGCATATAAGAAAAAGAGAATTAACATTGAATCATATAAGAAAAACACTGGGTTTGAAAACCTCATAATATATCAAAGACAATCTATGATATAGAGACAACTTACAATTTTCATTTTAGGACGTTACTTTCTTTTAGTGGATGTAATAAAAGTCTTTATTTGTTTATAAAAATTGCAGAACGTCTGAGGTACCTTACTAGATCGATAGACCATTTTCGTTTTGACAATTTCTGCTATTCAAAAATATCACACCTTGTATTTCTAGTTTTTTTGTTCATTATGATATGTCAACAGGAACTTCATTTCTTATCAGTATTTCAAAATTCCTCGGAAAGATGTTTGAATGTTTGAAATCCATAACGTTAACCTCATGTAGAAGGGGTCATTTTTATTCATTGAAAGAAAATCCAGAACAACAATGTAGATATTTTGTGCCCTTTAACTGCATGTAACAAACACCTTCATTAAAATCTGATTGAAAATAGTATTTTACTGCAGAAATAAAATTATTTACATTTATAATTTAAACACAATAACCGCATTGTAACCAAATACACTTTAAGTAAGTAATAATATGCAGAGAAATAACATAATTTATCTAAAAATATCCCCACCTGCATTATATGATACGAAAAAACATTCATTAACATTATGGAAATAAATCTTATATGAGAGGAGCTAAATATCATGAAAATACATTAGAACAATACTGCATCATTTAGTGGATGTAAAAAAAGCCTTTATTTGTTTAAAAAAATTGCAGAACCTTTGAGGTACCTTACTAGATCGATAGATCATTTTCGTTTTGAAAATTTCTGCTATTCAAAAATACTGCACATCTCGTATTTCTAGTTTTTTGTTCATTATCATATGACAGGAACTTCATTTCTTATCAGTATTTCAAAATTCCTCGGACAGTTTTTTCAATGTTGAATAAACGATACAGTTTTTATTAAATGTCTTACATGTTCATATTATTGATGAGCACGATAGTACCATGGAAGAAGGTATTTTTCTTTGAATACATTACATAACCGATATAATTTCATCCAGAACACGTGACATATTCAATGACTGACCTTTGATAAACTGTTTATCTAATATCCAATCGCTGTTCTTTGTATCGTAGTATGTATCAAGAACATTCATAGACCAAGGGATCGGTTTGATTACTTGGACAAAATATTTTCCAAAATTAATGATTTCCGTTTGGTTCAAGTCCCCGTTTTCATTAGCTTGTGGCATCCAAGCACCAAGATAAGTGGTCAAATTGTAAAATGATGTAAAATAGTTGGCATATCCGATAGCAGTCATGACATTGCTTTTTCCGAAATGGTCGCCAGTCCCATCCCAATATTTTTGACCTGGATTTCCGTTGTTTTTTTAGTTTTTTATTTGGTCCGGATGCATAGATATGCCACTCTGCCATCATATAATGATCGTTTTTATAAATATTTTGGTCTATTTCTTCTAACCCCTTTGCTGTTTTCTTTGGAGAACCTAGAATAACGATACGTTTATCATTTTTACCGCCGGATTCTCTTATCTTTTTTACGACAGCAGATGTCCAATCGTTGTATTTTGCTGTGTTTTCTCTGAGACTTTCTGCGCATGCATTTCCACATGAGTCGACTCCCAGTTCTGTAAATAGATTGAATGAAAGTCTATAGTCTTTATCTTTCAACTTTTCTGCAACACTTGTCCACCACTCCAAATATTTTATTCGATGTGATTCAGTAGCGAAGGCTTCGGCTTCGTGATGGATCCAAGAAACTATTGGAGCAATGTCCGTAGCAAGACAATCGTCCACGACAGTCTCTAAATTGTTTAAAAAGACGGTCATGTTCAAATTATTAAGCTCTGCTCTACATCTTAATCGTAAATTCCTGAAACCTCGTTCGTAAACATCATCTAAGTTTTTTCTGTTGTACTTATTGAAATTGAGGGTTTTGAAATAGTTCGTGGAAAGTCCTTGAGCAATCTTCGTCTGGTATTCAGTTGGTGTATATGGATTATGACTGGCTAAAGAATCTTTAAAACAGCATGCACATATGACAACTAATACCACGATTGTCATCATCTTAGGCTTTTTCTGTAACAATATTACGGATTCTTTTGATGCTGAAAAAAAACCAAACGCCAATGTCTTTATTAGTGTATTGTGAACGAACTTTTTTCATTTCTGATTGAACTCTAATTATTTATCATCAATTTACCCTAGAAAAAACAGGTACAATTAGAAAGGACTTTAGTGTTACAGTCCACATCATGAATTGGTCTGCATTATCAAGAAAGATATAATCAACATAAAAGTGTTACAGTCGACATCTTTCATGGGTAAGGGAATAAAAACATTTAACACTAACATTATTGTACCAGGTATATCCTTATTTAACTCATCTCATTGTTTACTTTGATCACAAGGCAATACAACTGCAGTCATATCTATTACCTCTCAGATCCACTTATTTCCCTCAAAGTTTAGTATTCCGACACTTTAGATTCAAGTGTTCAGTGTTGCATTTTCTTTTTTGTCCCTACAATTATTCTGTTACATTTGATTCCAATTTCTACAACTGTTTTGTTCCTCATCCTTAAAGTATAGATTTTCATGGTATTCAAAACCAATAACACTTTGGTATTTACTGTATTTTATTTTGTTTACACTTCTAACAAGAGTATACATTGGCAAATTCTTAAATGGATTGCTTTCTATTTGACACTTGTCAACATAACATTTTTTTTCATACACTTGCGGTTTTTGGACAAAGCAATACTTGTGATTATACAAGAACAACTAGTCGCAGATAGACATTATTTCAACATTTACTTTTTAAACCATTTATGTATGTCAAAACTGTTTTTGTGTTTTCTATAAACATGGAGCACATGCTTGCATCATCTTGCAGGTTTATTTATGCATTAGTGTAAAGATGTTATACATCATGCACACAACCAATCTGCTTAATTATAACTATTGGATTCAAAGTAAGAAAACAAATTCAGCTTGACACACTTTACCAAATTACTTAAAAAAATGAATCAATTTCATTTGTTCCCGTTTAATATTTGAATCATCTGTTAAACGATGATCATTTTTTTTTCATGGTGAAACACAGATTGAGTAATGTTTCGCGATGACAATCAATGTTAACATCAATAAAGGCAACAGTAGTATACCGCTTTTCGAAATTCATAAAACGATTAAGAAAAAAACAAATCCGGGTTACAAACTAAAACTGAGGGAAACACATCAAATGTAAGAGGAGAACAACGACACAACAGAAACTCAACACTAAAATGCAACACACACAGAAACGAACTATAATATAACAATGGCCATTTTCCTGACTTGGTACAGGACATTTTAAGAAAAAATGGTGGGTTGAACCTGGTTTTGTGGCTAATCAATAATATTTGTTTTCACTGAATCAACCATATGTGTGATATTTTTAATTCATGAAATTATTTAAATGTAGATAAAGGATTAAATTGAATAAATCCAAACGATGCATTCAATTTAAATCATGAATTTGCATTTTTTATAATTTTTCAATATATTTTTATAAATATTTCAATATTTCTGTTTTTGTATTAATATGTGAGCCTTCTGAACCTTTTTATTTCTAGTTTTACCTTACTCCGTGCTCAATGTATTATATTATTTAAAGAAAAGTTCAGTGTATGCTATTTATATCTATCGTTATTTCACATAGAAAATCGAATTCATTAAGTCCATTCGATGAATAGCAATATGAATCATACAGAATTGGGATAAATAAACAGTAGCATACAGCTGTTCAATAGTCATAAATCGATTAAGCGAAAATAAATCCGGGTCACAAACCAAAACCGAGGGAACCATTCGACAAAAGAGGAAAACAACGGAACAACAGAAACACTGAACTGCTACAAAAACAAACGCCAACATACATAGAAACAGACTATTTAGTCTTAGATGCATTCTTTTTATTAGTTGTTACTGGCTTTGAACTAGCTGTCAGTAACTGCGAGTACTCTCAGATCTGTACTTAGTGTCTTTTTATTGTTGGGATGTACAAGTACCCGGCCACGTCCACTCTGTGTTTTTGTTAGATGTATTTCTATTTGTATCCATCTGATGAGTTAAGCCTTTTCAAATTATTTTTATAGTTCGTTCTTATATTGTACCGTTACACCACTGTACCAGGTTAGGAAGATCCCGCTAACATGTTTAACCCCGCCACATTCTGTATGTATGTGTCTGTCCCAAGTCATGAGCCTGTAATTCAGTGGTGCTGTGTTACATATTTGTTTTTCGTTCATTTTTTGTACATAAATTAGGCCGTTAGTTTTCTCGTTTGAATTGTTTTACATTTGTCATTTCAGGGCCTTTTATAGCTGACTATGCGGTATGGGCTTTGCTCTTTGTTGAAGGCCGTACGGTGACCTATAGTTGTTAATTTCTGTGTCATTTGGTCTCTTGTGAAGAGTTGTCTCATTGGCAATCATACCACATCTTCTTTTTTATATTTGATAACAACTGCCATATTCCTGACTTGTTACAGGACATTTTAAGAAAAAAATGGATGGTTGAACCTGGTTTTATGGGTAGTCAAACCTCCCGCTTATATGGCATAGTTAAAAATACCACTAAAATGACAACATTACGTGACAGGAATACAGTACAAAAAAAATGCAAGAACACTCAGGACAGAAAAATACATAAATAAATAATATAATAGTACATTACAACATGTAAACCACAGAATAACAACAGACACATTTCCATTAATTTACGACAGTACACCAGTACACCACAATAGAATTATGAACTGTGCGTCACGCGAATGTATCAACGTTAAAAAAATTGACGTTACATGTAAATTTCTAAAAATAGAATATAAAATTGGGATTAAGTTTGTAATGTTGTTATTTTATGTATTTTCTAACCATTACAAGAATATTAATATAGAATTGTGTTAGTAAAAAAGGAATTCAACACTTTATAAATTTCATGCGTACGAGTGGCTTGATTTAAATAACGTCCAAAGACAAATAAGCCGGATAAGCGTCACAGACGACCAAAAAAAAAAGAAAGGGACACCTTGAGGTTACTATACAGTCTTAAAAAAGAGTCTTGTATCCATTAAATATGGTAAATTATTTAAGGGACTCTAGCAAACAACTTTTGAATAGTGAATCAAAGATTTATAAATTAAATGTTGATAATATTGGATTTTCCAAACCTGACTGAGTGTTCAATACACTGAACTTAGAGTTATATTTTGCAAGCGTTTGGTCTATTACGATATAAACGTTGATTGATTGACTATACGTAATAAATGGCTTATTAATTTTTTTTTTAACAACAAATAAATATTCTTTATTCTTCAGAATGCTTGTTACAATTTTACTTCACTGTCCAAACTTCAATAAAGTATCCCTGTGAAATAATTTCTGAGTATCCAGGACAATACTCAGAATATAATAAAATATAAATGTTTTTTTTCTATTATATCAATCTTTTTAAATTAATAAAAAATACATTTTGAGATACTGTTTTGGTCTCATTCATAACCCTTAGTATTTCTTTTATAAACATATTATACACATCAAAAATTTAAATTTTTGCTCGGAGACATAATATGACTTGTAAATACAAAAACCTAGAACTGTCAAAAAATAGTTAAAACCATAATACCCCTGGTCTGATATTTTGTATCCAAATACTATATGTTTTGCTAATACCTTGCTATGAAAATTCATTTTTGCTAGAAGATAATGTACCTTCTCCCAAAAATCTTTCAAAAATGAACATGTAATAAAGAAATGCAAGTAATCTTCTTCTGTTTTACAAAACTTGCATTTATCATTCTCAGATATTTTCCATCTTAAAAGTAACTGCTTTGTAGGAATAATATACTGAAGTAGTTTCCATCTGAAAATTTTCAACTTGTTTTCTGTTAAAATTTTAAATATAAAATCGTATACAAATGTCATATGTGGTGTGTATTCTAATTTTAAATATCTTGTCCAAATATTAATACCGATTGGCTTTGTATATTTTTTATCTATTAAAGTATTATAGAATATTTTATTGTTGATATATTTTGCTTCAATTTGTTTATTTTGCCAACTTAATTTATCCTTACATATATTGATTATACTCTTAACGGAGTTTTCTTTTTTTTAAAACTTGCAGCCATTCTTTTGGAATGCAAGATTTTAACATCTTAAACTCTGCAATCCAGTTTGATTTATTCTTGAGCTTTTTTAAAATAAAGCTTTCGGATAATTTTCCCTCACTATCCGTATGTCGTTAATATACACCAATCCACTTTTAACCCAGTTCGGGAAGAACACACTTTTATTGCGATTTTTAATATATTTATTTCCCCAAATAATCTGTTTTCTGATACCCGAAAAGTGATCAGAAAATTTTTATAAACCTCCTCCTGTTTTCACCCAACTTGAAATTACTTGTAAATAAAAATCAGGTATGTTTCCAAGTTCATTTAGTGATTTTATGTTATCTAAATTCATTTTAAAGACAAGAAAGTTTTTACCAAGAGTGTTAAAATATTTAGTAGGAATAATCTTCCAGTTCGGCAGTTCGGTTGTTGTTAATTTGGAGACCCATGAAGCTTTCAGTGCTGTAAAATAACTGTTAAAATCAATCATTTTTAATCCCCCCTGGCTTATTCATTGTAAATGTTTGAATATTCATAACAGCGTCCATAGTAAAATATATTATATAAATCAAATGAAAAACAGTTACCTTTGCGAACAATTATAACTTGCTGTAAATACTTTCCTTCTCAAATAGAGACCCTCTGTCGACGTTGACAACTACTGGAATGCGATAGGACTCTGCAGTACACATAGTTTTATAGGGTAATGATCGAATTATGAAAGAGCACGTCACAAAAGTCTCTTACATAAAGAGAAAGTGTTTTCGTGTATAAATGCATTAAGCGATAATAATATAAAATGTAATTTAAAATGTTTCAGGTTCAGATGAGAAGTCACTAATTCGGTAATTAAAATGAAATATTGGGAACGATATAAAAAATAATTAAATTTGTATTTTTCAAGATAAAAAAAAAATGTCTGAGAAAGTAATTTAAAAATTCAATTAATGGAACATTTTGCGGTGAATGATGAAAATATATGAATATCCTTTGATATATCTTGCAATCATTTGAATAAAAAGTATGTTCTCTAGGTATTGAAATCAAAACATATATAAAAAAAAATAAATTATAAACTCTTTACTTATATCATATAAAATAATTTAAATAATTGTTAACAGTTCTTCTTTATATACAATTTATAAAATAATCATAGTAAAAAGGTTTGTGCATTTTCTTGTTTTCACAAGCAAGTCTATCATATATCAGTAGTAGTACGTTAGGAATTTCCATTATATATATGTTTTAGCATTCAATATGCTTGCAGTGGTAAATATTTCCAAACTTGTCATGCCTGACAATTATACAAAACAAAAATATCGAACGTTATGCACTAAATATCAGACTATTCATTATCAAGAGAATTCTCACATATGTTAATGAACTACAACTTTACATATTCGCCCCCTCCCCCCTGTATTCCAAAGACATGCAGAGAGTGTTAATTAAAAATTAAATATTATAGGTTATTATAAAAGCTCTTGAAAGTATATTGTCATATCTGTAAAAGAGGCAAAATAATGTACAAAACTTACAAATCCATTTTAAATATCCAAGCCACTTGAATAACACAAAAACAATGTACAACGAAAAGTACAAAAGAGCGATACTGAGTGCGTATAAGGATATTAAGCTCTGGTTATGAATTCAACCCTTGCAATGGAAATCTAGACTCATGATTTTAAAACAACAATGGAAAAATAATTGTGTGTAAATCAACCAATATAAAAACATTTTATGAAATACTTACACGATATGGAGTCAAATCCTTTTGATATATTTTGATATGAAATTTATATTTCTAAAGAAGTGTGGTATCGTATTATCTCTAACTAAGATAACATTAACGTTGACAGATTTCAAAGGCAACATATCTTTGTTTCTATGCGATGAACATTTTTCAATCATTTAAGTTTCTAACCAACAGACAACTGTCGTAAAAGAGTATTCTAAGTTAATCGCAGTATAAAACTAAAGTTTAACAGTTGCCTTTATCTGCATGATAGAATATTTAGTTTCCTGACTTTAGTACTTTTCAACCCTTGATATACTGACGGACTTTAAAAACGCAATATTAGATTATTCTTTTTTATTCCCATTTTCAAATATGCAATTTTTGTAAAATAATTATATAAACATGAGTTTTATTCATTTCTTTCTTGTCTAAAAAAAGTTTGCAGTTCAACAGTTAAACTGATGACGTCATTTTTAATGTTCAAATCATGTGGTATGCACTGAAACCCTGGTTTTCCCCTTAAGATTGGATATACCACCGTTGAAGACAATGACTGCTTGTAAATAACGCCAAAATGATTGTCAGAAAGGTCAACCAATTCTGTTAGGCATGTTTTTAGTTCTGTTTTGTGCCTTCTAGTTTTACCTCTGTCCCATGCATAACAGTGTGTTTTGGCAATTAAGCGGTTTAAACTTTAGGGCTTTAATTGTTTTTTCTGTAGTCGATTCTTTGGCATTTTAGTATATGGGCTACATTTTTAGAAAGAATCTGTTTGCCATGACATTCGACGACTAGATAAGAAGTTGATGTTGCAGCCGTAAACATGTTACATAATCATATTTTATAGATGTGGCGTTGTCACTACATATTGATCTGGTCATAAATGGTCATCAACAAATCCCGTCTGCCTGTACCGTTGTTGTAAGGACAGTACAACGTTTCTGATATGAAATTGTCTGGAAACAGCAAGTTCACGTATTCCTGCATGCAATATTGGTATCAACTGGGAGATATATACTCCGTATGCAGGTGCTGCTGGAATGTTGCTACATAGAAATGAAAAGTTCACAATTGGAGCTGAAATCATCTCTTTTGTCGTTAAGTTTTGTTTTCAACCGACCCTCATTGTCAATTTCTAGATGTTAGGCAAGATATAAGGCAGATAAGTCTAACAATTCAATGAGAAGACAGAAATCCATCGGTTTTATTTACTGATACTATCGTATCAAAACTCATTGATAATATAACGTTGAGTCAAAACTCACAAAGAAGACAGAAATCTAAGGCCTTGATTTACATTTAACATCGTATCAAAACTCATGGCGAAGACTAAAATCTAGCAGGATGATTTTCAGTTAACCTTGTATCAAAAAACGCATTGAGAAGACAACATTCAAAACTCAAGTAGAAAATACCACTGAACTAAAACTCAAGTAGAAAATAACACCAAACTAAAACTCGTGGCGAAGACCAAAATCAAACGGTTTGATTTACAGTTAACCTTGTATCAAGATTCATTGAGAAGACATTGAATCAAAAATCATCGAGAAAATAACATCGAATCAAAACTCATGGCGAAGACTGAAATCTAACGGTTTGATTTACAGTTAATCCCGTATCAAAAGTCATTGAGAAGACATCACTAAATCGAAACTCATGGAGAAAATATCACCGAACCAAAACGCATGGCGAAGACTAAAATCCAGCATGGTGATTTACAGTTAATGTCGCATCAAAATTTTAGGCGAAAAAAAAATCTGATTGATCGATTTACACCTAAGTATGTATCAAAACTCATTTAGCGGACTGAAATCTAACAGTTGGATTTAAAGTAAACATCGTACCTCAAAATTCATGAAATCTAATAGTTTGACGTTATCTTGTATCAAAACTTATAATGAAGACTGAAATGCAAAACTCGTGGAGAAGATTGAAATCTAACGGTTTGATTGAACGTTTACTTCGTATCAAAACTCGTTGAAAAGATTGAAATCTAACGGTTTGATTTAATGAATACTTCATATCAAAACTCAAGGAGAAGATTGAAATCTAACGGTTTGATTTATTTTTTACTTCAGATCTTAACTCGTGGAGAAGATTGAAATCTAACGGTTTGATTTAATGTTTACTTCGTATCAAGACTCACGGAGAAGACTGAAATCTAACTGTTTGATTTAATGTTTACTTCGTATCAATACTCACGGAAAAGATTGATATCTAACGTTTTGATTCAATGTTTAATTCGTATTAAAACTCGTGGAGCAGTTTGAAATCTAACGGTTAATTTATTGTTTGCTTCGTATCAAAACTCATGGAGAAGATTGAATTCTAACGGTTTATTTTTTGTTTACTTCGTATCAAAACTCATGTAGAAGATTGAAATCTAACAGTTAGATTTAATGTTTACTTCGTATCAAAACTCACGGAAAAGATTGAAATCTAACGGTTTGATTCAATGTTTAATTCGTATTAAAACTCGTGAGGAAGATTGAAATCTAACGGTTTGATTTAATACTTACTTCGTATCATAACTCACGGAGAAATTAGAAATAAGACGGTTTGATTTTTTGTTTACTTCGTATCAAAACTTGTGGAGATTGAAATCTAACGGTTTGAATAACAGTTAAAGGTTGTAATGAAAATATTTTACAGGCATATCTTTTAAATACGTTTTTGTTTGTTTCTTCCAATTGGCGGCTGGTTAAGAAATAATAATAAAAAAAAAAACTTTAATTTGTTCCAACCAAATATCTGTTTGCCTGTCTCGTGTCTATGGTTGTCTTAAGTTACATCTTTACCTGTATTTCTTCTGTCACTTAGAAATTTTTTCCTGACTTTTTTTTTTAATTCTATGATAATGTATCGTTTTCATTTATAACTATACTGGACTCGAGGTCTGACTTTTGTTTCTGTTTAATGAAAATTGATTCACCTCTAGGTGTCGTTCGTATTTTTTGTGTATCGTGCTATCGTTCATTTCCGTCACATCCATTTTTTCAAAACGGTTACATGTTGGCAACATAAACTCGATCAGATGCTAGAGCGTTAACCTCATGTGGAGGGGATCATTTTTATTCATTGAAGGAAAAGCCAGAACAACAATGCAGATATTTTTTGCCGTTTAACTGCATGTAACAAACACCTTCATCAAAATATGATTGAAAATAGTATTTTACTGCAAAACTGAAATTGTTTACATTTGCATATAAACACATTAACCACATGGTAACCAAAGACACTTTTTAAAGTAAGTAATAATATGTAGGGAAATAACATTACTAGTATATAACAGATACCCACACTGCATTATATGATACGAAAATATATTCATTAACATTATGGATATAAGGCTTATATGAGAGAAGCTAAATACCATGAATCTACATGAGAAAATTACTGCATCAGAAAAATGCATGTATCTAAATCATATGATAAAACAGCAAATAAGAAAAAGAGAATTAACATTGAATCATATAAGAAAAACACTGGGTTTGAAAACCTCATAATATATAAAGACAATCTATGATATAGAGACAACTTACAATTTTTCATTTTAGGACGTTATTGATATCTTTTAACTTTCTTTTAGTGGATGTAATAAAAGTCTTTATTTGTTTATAAAAATTGCAGAACGTCTGAGGTACCTTACTAGATCGATAGACCATTTTCGTTTTGACAATTTCTGCTATCCAAAAATACTGCACATCTCGTATTTCTAGTTTTTTTGTTCATTATGATATGTCAACAGGAACTTCATTTCTTATCAGTATTTCAAATTCCTCGGAAAGATGTTTGATTGTTAGATAAACGATACAGTTTTTATTAAATGTCTTACATGTTCATATTTATTTATGAGCACGTTAGTACCGTGGAAGAAGGTATGTTTCTTTGAATACATTACATAACCGATATAATTTCATCTAGAACTCGTGACATATTCAATGTCTGACCTTTTATAACCTGTTTATCTAATATCCAATCGCTGTTCTTTGTATCGTAGTATGTATCAACAACATTCATAGACCAAGGGATTGATTTGATTACTTGGACAAAATATTTTCCAAAATTAATGATTTCCGTTTGGTTCAAGTCCCCGTTTTCATTAGCTTGTGACATCTAAGCACCAAGATAAGTGGTCAAATTGTAAAATGATGTAAAATAGTTGGCATATCCGATGGCAGTCATGACATTGCTTTTTCCGAAATGGTCGCTAGTTCCATCCCAATATGTTTGACCTGGATTTCCGTTGTTTTTTAGTTTTTTATTTGGTCCGGATTCATAGATATGCCACTCTGCCATCATATAATGATCGTTTTTATACATGGTTTGATCTATTTCTTCTAACCCCTTTGCAGTTTTCTTTGGAGAACCTAGAATAACGATCCGTTTATCATTTTTTCCGCCGGATTCTCTTATCTTTTTTACGACAGCAGATGTCCAATCGTTGTATTTTGCTGTGTTTTATCTGAGACTTTCTGCGCTTAAATTTCCACATGATTCGACCTCGAGTTCTGGAAATAAATTGAACGAAAGTCTTTATCTTTCAACTTTTCTGCTACACTAGTCCACCACTCCAAATATTTGTTCGGTGTGATTCAGTAGCCAAAGCTTCGGCTTCGTGATGGATCCAAGAAACTACTGGAGCGATGTCCGTAGTAGGACAATTGTCCACGACATTCTTTAAATTGTTCAAATTATCAAGATCTGCTCTACATCTTAATTGTAAATTCTTAAAACTTTGTCCGTAAACATTATCTAAGCTTTTTTTTTACTTGAGGGTTTTGAAATAATTTGTGGAAAATACTTGGACAATCTTTGTCTGGTATTCAATTAAAAAAATGACTATGGTAATATTTCGTTTACCACCTGGGCCAGATAGATTCCTACTTAACTCAGCTCATTTTTCACTTTGATCACAAATCAATACAACTGGAGTCATATTTATACCATTTTGGAGCACTTTATTTCACTCTCGGTTTGGTAATCCGACAAATTAGATTCAAGTGCTCAGTGTTAAATGTACTTTGTTGTCCCTACAACTCTGCTGTTAATTTTCTAGTTCAATTTTGACAATTGTTTTGTTCCTGTATCATCATTTAAACTTATATTTACATGATATTTTAAACCATTCTATACTTTGGTATTTGCTGTTGATAATTTTGTTTACCCTTTTTCCTTCTTCTATATATATAGAGTATATTTAAAAAGATCGCCTAGTAAGATTGCTTTCTATTTGACGATTGTTAACATAACTTTTTATTCATACAATTGTGGTTTTTGGCAAAGAAATTAAGAGGATTATAAACTAACAATGAGTCGTAGATAAACATTATATCAACGCTTGATTTTTTAATCATTTATGTATTTCAAAACTGTGTTGATATTTTCCATAAATATTCGAACAAATGTTTGCATTAGCTTGCAGGTTTATTTGTTTATAAGTGGGAAGGTGTAATACATCATGCACACAACCAATCTGCTTGTAATCTTAACTTTAACTCGTAGATTCACAGTAAGAAAACGAATTCAGCTTGATATTTTACATAAAGAGATGATTCAATTTCATTTGTTCCCGTTTAACATTTTATTCATCTTTTTAACTGTGATCCAATCTTTTTCTTGGTGAAACACGGATCGATCAATGTTCCGGAATGTATCGGAACACAGGTAGTATCGTATCTGAGAGATTCGGAAGTAAACTCAACAACGATACAAGGCTTATAACTTTATACGCTAGACGCGCGTTTCGTCTACAAAAAATTTTATCAGTGACACTCGAATGTAAAAGTTAAAAGCAAAATTAAGTACGAGGTTGCAGAGCACACACGTTACAATACATCAAAGTGATGCAACTGAATAATAATTTAGACTGCTTATCAAGTAGCACAGAAACTAATTTGTCATTGACTTTTAATCACTATAATGAACAGTTAAAAAATGAAATTTCAAAATTAAAGCAAATCACGCAGACTGTTTCCTGTCTTACTTTTGAAATAAAACATTTATTGATTGAAATAAGAATTTGATATAATGTAAATATTATTGAAATAAAAATTAAATTGAACTGTGACCTATCTTTTGCACTCATTTGATCTTTTACATGATACACGTTCAGTGATTGACTTTCTTTCATTCATAAATGTCATATGAATGTGAAAGCTGAAATAAATAGTGCAGTGTCCATAACTATAGTAAGGCATATCAAAACATCGAATACAATGCAAACAACTATGCAAAGAGTAAAACGTCTTGAAAATACTTCTCCTCTCTAATATAGACCAACAGTCCACGTTGATAATTAATGGAATAGAACAAGACGTTGCACTCTACATAGCTTTATATGTAAATGAACTAGTGAAAAATACGCCACAAAACCAACATTTTATTCCATAAAAGGAAAAGTGTTTACGAATTCAATTACGTAAGGGCATTTAGCCATTTAACTTTAAAACAAATTTGAAAATATTTTGAGTTACAGGTGAAAATTCACTGATTTATCAACTATAAAAATAAAATATTGGGAATTATATCAACAATTATTAAATCTATTGAATAAAGATTTACAAAAGAACTCACAGACACAGCTGTTTAGAAATTTATTTAGTTTTTGTGAGAGACGAAAGATACCAAAAGGAGAATCAAACTGTTAAGTCGAAAATAAACCGACAAAGCCATGGCTATAAAAGGAAAGGACCAACAGACAAACAACAGTACACAATACACAACGTAGAAGACTGAGCAAACTCAGAAAACTGACTACCTTTTGATGTCGCTTGCAAGTATTTGGAATAAAAGGTTTTTTTCAAAAGATTTCGAAACCAAAAGATGCCTTTATTTATTGTAATGACCCATAACAGCATAATTGACAACATTATACATGCAAATTTCTATGTATAAACATGTTGATCATTGTCAATTGTTTTATACAGTATTTTGTATGGCAGAAATCATATATCTCTCTTGATACTTTATTAACCCCAGAGGTAAGCTGTTGGCTTCAGTGAATATCTTCTATCTGTGGTTGATAAATCATTTTTTCCCTATTTTTTCAAATTTTGCTTTGATCTTTTTCTATGATAATTTTTCATATCACACTTCACATCCATAATCTATAACTATCAACCTCATCAAAAGTCAATAATTGTCCATTAACTTTAACAAAAATCTTCTCCTCTGAAACTACTCGGCTAAATTTAACCCACTTGGCCACAATCATTATTTAGGTATCTAGTTCGAAAAATGTGTCCGATGACCTCGCCTGACAAGCAAGATGGCCGACATGGCTAAAAATAGAACATAGGGGGTATAATGCAAGTTTTCTGTTCAGTATAATGATAAAAGTACATAATGATTTTTCTCGCTTACAGATTTCTTTTTTAGATAGATAGATGAAGCGGAATTTTTACATATCCACTAGAATCATTCTCAAAATAGCAATTCATTTTTTAAACTATTAATATTAAAATCTATTTGCAAATGCAATCAGCTGTTTTGAATGGTTTTACACTCAACAAAATGAAGTATCGTAATATGCACAAGTTGACTGCTGCTGGTTATTAGGAGGCTGAATTGATACACTGGTTGACTGCTGCTGGTTAGTAGGAGGCTGAATTGATAAACTGTTTGACTGCTGTTGGTTAGTAGGAGGCTGAATTGATACACTGGTTGACTGCTGTTGGTTAGTAGGAGGCTGAATTGATACACTGGTTGACTGCTGCTGGTTAGTAGGAGGCTGAATTGGTACACTGGTTGACTGCTGCTGGTTAGAAGGTATCTGAATTGGTACACTGGTTAACTGCTGCTGGTTAGTAGGAAGCTGAATTGATGCACAAGTTGACTGCTGCTGGTTAGTTGATGTTGGATTCATATACTGGTTGATTGCTGCTGGTTAGTAGGAGGCTGAATTGATACACTGGTTGACTGCTGCTGGTTAGTGGGATGCTGGATTTTACATACATAGGTATACATTGCTAGTTTACTGCTGCTGGTCAGTAGGATGCTGCTTAAACTCAAAATAGAGGTATGAGATAAGTATATTTTCCAAATCCAAAATTTATTTTCATAAAGAAAATTTAGCGTTTTTGTTTGTTATCTCCCGTTTACAGATAGCAGATGGTTATTTCCACTTTATGCATTAATGAAAAAAAGAGAATATTGTTCACAGCAACAGTTTTTATTATAAACCATATTTCCTAAAGTATGCTGTCCTTGGTAGCTTCAACATATCACATGGTAAACAAGTTAACAATTCAAATAGAAAAGGTTTTGTTCTTGAAACATACAAAAATATCCCCCTTTATATACCAGGATTTCATTTTTTTAAATTATCCAAATTTGAATCCCATCCCATATATCTGGCAAACAATTTTTTAAATTAAAATTTGAATATATACACAACTAATTTTTTTAAAAAGTCATACATGAACATTCATTTGTGGCTAACTTTTACAATTTCAGTTCACCACAGAAAGACAAAATACAAGCACTAGAGGCATTGGTTAAAATCAGAGATCACGAAATACAGAGATTGCAGAAGAAAATAGAAAGATTTGGTATCAGTCGACTTTTAACTGATAATTCAATGATTTTGTTTTACACTGGCTTTGTGTCTTTGTCAATGTTTTCGGCGTTTTTCAATTTTATAAAACCAACCGCCATCTCCATGACCAGCTATTATTACAGATCACTCGATAATGCCAATCAAAATATTACTGCAGATAGACAGAGAAACCTGCATTTAATAGATGAGCTATCCATGTTTTTGTGTAGACTCAAAGGTGTCTTAATGGAACAGGACTTAGCTGTACGATTTAATTGCCATGTTTCAACTATTAGTCGTAAGATGATAACTTGGGCAAACTTTTTGTTTTTGTTCTAGGAAGCATCAACATATGGACTGGTAAACAAAACACGTAGGCGATAAAATTCCTCCTACTTTCAAGTTGTTGTATTCATCAACAAGAGTGATAATAGACTGCACAGAAATAAAAACTGAAAGATCGTCGTCCCTTGCACTGTGATCTAAATGTTATTCCAGTTACAAAAGTAATCATACATGGAACGGGCTGGTAGGAATTGCCCCTCATGGGGCTGTAACTTTCATTTCCAGCTTATATACTGGCTGTATGTCAGATGTGGAAATAACAAAATTATGTGGAGTGGTTGATTTACTGGAGATGGGAGATTCATTATGGCCAACAAGGGGTTTGTACTGAACAAGGTTTTCGAAGGAACTGGTATAACTGTCAATACTCTTCCTTTTCTTATGAGCTATGGCCAATTTACCAAGCAGGAAGTGGAATAACACAAACCATAGCAAAGCTAAGAATACATTTTGAAAGACATATCCGTAGGGTAAAGGAGTACCACGTCTTCGACAAAATAATTCCCCTTAGCATGGTGGGCACAATCAATCAACTGTGGACTGTTGCTAATATGCTTACTTTATTTAGAAGTCCATTAATTAAAGAATGGCGTTGATGAAAATCTAAATTAAAATCAGGCCTGATAAAAAAAGAACTTTTCTTTATGCTAAAACTACCAACCATATTATTTGTTATTTTTGAACATTATATTTCCGGTCTAATGTAAGCAGTTTAACATGTTAAAGAACAAGTAGTATAGATATCATCATTCATAATGAAACAAAGTACTTGCCCCATTATACACTAATCATGCTGTACCGAACTTGAAACAAACTACACCCGGCTGCGATATTTATACACTGTACATGTAATCCCTGTCATGTAAAAACGTTGTTAAGGGCATACGATACAGTAATGAATCCACGATTAGAATTTTTTGAAATTTTGAATAAAGGTCAATTTCAATGTACACGTTTGGAATGTGCAGAGAAATTTATTCCTTCATGATTTACTTTTCGAGATATTTCCGGTTGAAATTAAAAAAAAACCACATCTTTCATTGGTCAATTTTAGCTCAAACATCAAATAAATGCACACATGCCACAAGAGTGTAAATGTGGACAGCAGGAGGGAAATTGTGGACTGGACATAAGAATTTGTTGTAAAAAATCAGTTTAATGGTAAAAAAAATAACAAATAGTCTTTAGATTTAAAACTATGACCACAACCAGACAATATAAATGACTTTAAGTAAAAAAAATCCTGGACCTACACAAAATTGTTAGAAAATGCTGTGCGCATTTGGGCACATCATTTTATAGTTTACCAAAAATTACAGACAGTGCTCAACAAACATGTTCTTTTACATAACATTCAACCAAAAATACACAGGCTTACGAACATAAGTTGATCTAATTTTAGAAATAGTTCAACTGGGAAAAATTATTTCTACGTTAGACTCAATAATTTTTTGACATGACGTGTCCGCAATTACCTGATGTCCGCATTAACCTGAATTTCCCTTATACTCTGTACTCCCTGACAATGTAATGTATTAACCGTTGCGACCCCAGTAAAGCCTGTCCCAATCTGTTTTATATTTTTATTACATTTCTTGCATAGACCTTATTATTCTCTGCCCTAAGAATTGCAATATACAATCATGAATGTATTAGAAATACTTCAAATAGGCCAGCAATCCTTTAAAAGAAAAAAATCCTAAGCACACACAGTATAAACATAAAAATAAGTGGGCCGCAAACTGAATTTTAGAAAATGAAACAGTTACCACAGTTACCACAGTTTCAGTTAATGTATGTATGTGATAGAATATCCTATTCACCTACGTTTCAATTAATAAACGTAATTTAGGGTGGTGAAATTGTCAAATAACACGAAAATATCAATTTACATGAAATTATAATTTATATTCCAAAAGTAATAATACAAATATTTTTAGCCATAAATATTACCAAGTCGAAAATTGCAAATTTCAGAATTGGACTAAAATTCCAAGTTGTTTGAAATCAAAGACAAGCAACTGAAATGCAGACTTATACTCAAAAACTAAGCAGATTCTCCTCTGCTCTTTTGATGCCCATCATGATGCCTATCTTACAAATTTGTCAATGACCCTTCTAATGAAATAATTAACTTGCTCTACATTTCTATTAAAGAAAATTAAAACTTTTGATAAAAACCCAAAATGACTTTAAATCAACTTCGGAATTGCAATGCTGGAAATCTCGGGCAGTCTGCTCCATTGCATCTAATGGGAAGGAATTGTAACCCCGACAGGACGCAGGGTTAAATTATTGTAATTGTAACTACGACCTTATTCCAATTCATGATTACCCGCTATCTCCCTATGTTCTTTTCACAATAATTCAGTGGTTTTTAAAATTTATCAACCTTCACTCACATAGGATTAGATCTTTCGTATCCCCCATTTACTAATGAACAGTTGTATGTCGCACTATCCCGAGTGCGTTCTTTTGATTCACTATCTATTCTACCTGATCCAGACACTATGGTAAATGAAAAGCACACAACTCGTAATATTGTTTTCAAAGACGTTTTATAATTGAGTCACATGAAATACTTTACGACATAAAAATTGCAATATACAATGTAGTAGATATACTTCAAGTAGGCCAGCAATGCTTTTAAAGCAAAAAAAATCCTAAGCACACAGACGCCAGTATAAACATAAAAATATGAATTTAAATGCACAAAATCATACTATGTAGAATTTATGTGTTTAAAAATATTTCTTACTTTAACTAACATAACACATGCATAAAGCATATTTCGACTTTAAATTGCAACAAAGCACTATTTGACACTAATTGGCATGCAGGGGTTAAAGCTAAGTATACACGTGACTGACAATTTTCCACGGTTTTTTTCCTAGTATTATATATATACGAATCATAGGTTTGAAAGTTGTTTTCAATTTACACTTGTTTATATATATATAAGCGGAAAGTAATGTAATCATTTTCTTTTAAGCTACATGCATCATACACAGATACATGCATATGACTTCCCTTATTTTTAACCACAATTACATTTGTACTGTTATATTGTTTAATCTAGTTTTTACAGGTCATATTACCTCTACAGCATGTGGCGACTAATTTTTTCTTTGAGATCTTTGGCATTTTCCTCTCACGAAACCACCCTTTTCTACGTTGTGAAATGAAAAGGAGTGTTTTATTTAAGTGTTAAACAGAAATGTACTTGAAGTTGAAACTAATATCTTCAGATTGTTTTCATACAATACAATATATATTTACGTCTGAATATGTAGTTCTCCATCGGATTACCTGTGGTTATACAGGGCTTAAACACCATAATGTATAAATTTGTATATAATATACATATCCATAATTTTTTATCAGTATCACTATGATCATCAATTAAATATCATCCCAAGTGACATGAAACATTATAAATATAACTAGATTTGCCATTGCAAGCAATAGCGGATGTCACCCTTCCCCCCCATTGCCACTAGTTGGCAGCCATTAAAAAATTTTAAACAGTGAATGCACATATATGCATGGCAATACATTTTAAACTGTAAACTTCCAAAACATTTTGAGCATTTTGAAATTTTCACATTTTTGCTGTTTCCATGGCCACGGCGGCCATTTTGGAAATTCCAAAGTCAAAAGTCTTATCTATACATGCCAGTTAGCATTAATATAAAGTAATATTAAGTTTGGAGCATTTTGAAATTTGTGACATTTTTGCTGGTTTCCATGGTAACAAAGACCATTCCCAAAATTGTAATGACAGATGCCACATTGGTACATGGGAGGGAACATACCATCACAGTTTCAATGGATTTGACCTACCATTTTAAGAGAGAAAATGCTACTTTAAGGTTTTTCCCATAGGGTTATAATGGGAAACCTTTCCCCAGTTTCCATGGCAATACAGTAGTTCCGATGACTCTAAAAATCATCCAAAACCTGTATATAGTAGATACCTATGT